TCTGAATATTATTAAGTCTAAAAATGTTTCAAAAAAATAAAAATATTTTTAGTAAAGAGTACCTAAAACTATACAGGATGTCTCAGGAGGATTAACCCATTGCAATATCTCCTGGGATAATAATTATATCATAAGTCTGTTTTTTTTTTTTTTTATTAGACTCACATATACAAGGGATTATTTATTATTTAATTGAATTAAAAATGATCATATTAACGGAAGTTCGGCAAAATCAAATACTCATAACATGAAAAATAAAAGGACCATCGATCGTCCTTGTACGACTTGACTTTTCGGGCAAATAACTATCAAACAATAATATTATTATATTATATTATATCAATCCGAAAAAGAAAATCGCATAACTTTATTGTTACGAATAATAACGATTCTCAGCCCTAGATTTGTCGTTATTGTTGTCGTCGTCTCCATTGTGTGTTGCTCATATCGCGTGTAATTAGCGCCCCGGCGAAAGGATAATATATATTTTATACACACGCGCACACACACATACACACACATAATTATATATTTATATTATTGTAAAACTGTATGAAGGTGCAATACGTGCGGTATGTTTGTCCGAATGGAGTMCGTTCTCGTATTAGTGACGGACCGACACACACACACACACACTCGCGCGCGTACGATATTGTTGTAATACCATTTTCATATTTATATATAATATAATATACCTATGGTACAATAATTCCGTTTCGGTTTTCATTTGCTTAGTTTTTTTTTTTTTTTTATGCATTTGCATTTGATATTTGAAAAATCGCTACGCATCAATTGTGCTGTACCGTCCAAATGAAAAACACGAGCCACCCGTTTGTGAAAATATGTAGCACAAACACGCACTCATGCCGAGAAATTGTATGGCTCTCGCGAGATCGACGCATAATAACGATAATAACGTTGCGCGTTTAGTAGACCGATTTGCGCCCATTATACCTACCCTTAACCATCTACCACCACAGTGTTACCACTGTAGATACCCAGTTTAGTATGTCAATGATTCGAAATCAGAATTATTTCGAATGATAAATTGTTTATATTTATTTTAAAATACGATGTAATGATGAGAAAACAGTTTTGAATTAAATAATATATATNTTTTTTATGCATTTGCATTTGATATTTGAAAAATCGCTACGCATCAATTGTGCTGTACCGTCCAAATGAAAAACACGAGCTACCCGTTTGTGAAAATATGTAGCACAAACACGCACTCATGCCGAGAAATTGTATGGCTCTCGCGAGATCGACGCATAATAACGATAATAACGTTACGCGTTTAGTAGACCGATTTGCGCCCATTATACCTACCCTTAACCATCTACCACCACAGAGTTACCACTGTAGATACCCAGTTTAGTATGCCAATGATTCGAAATCAGAATTATTTCGAATGATAAATTGTTTATATTTATTTTAAAATACGATGTAATGATGAGAAAACAGTTTTGAATTAAATAATATATATATTATTATTATTATTATTATTGTTACCTATATCCCGGTACCTATCGTCCATAATATGCTCAATTTTAAATCCAAATTAATAATTGTCATATAGTTATATTTTTTTTTTCTGAAAACTCTGCAGTTTCAATTACTTGATAATTCTACTTCGGACTTAAGCTTGGACGGTCGAAAGGCTGTCATTATAAAATGAAAACATCTTATTGTACAATTGATTTAACCATTAATGTGCTATATAGTTCACTGAYATTGTATTTTAAACCACGAAACATATAGGTACTGTAACATTATCATATTTGTATTAAATCTATTTTTTAGATTAATTACAAAAATGTGTAATACGTATAAATATTAAGTTTAGATGATAATACCAGGTTCAAACAAAAAATAAAAATTACTTAGTATTTTATATAAATATTTAGTGTATAAGTTACCGGACAATTAAAAAATTTTGTTAATATATTTTTAATGATAAATTCTTAGATGTTGATTTTAATTTCTGATAAGTACCTATAGGGTAGTTATTTTAACTTGTAATCCATACCTATTTAAAAATTATATTTTTCAGAAAAATGTTTCTGTATTAAAATATTTTGAAATAAAGAAATTTAAGAAATTCCAAACGAACAATAGTAATTACTATTGTGGATAGATATTTTTTATTAAAAGTACATATTTTTTTAAAAGTGGTCATATATCAATATTACATTAAAAAATAATTAGTTTTATCACAATTTTAGAATATTCAAATCATAAAACAGTATATTCTATTAATATTATAAAATWACTCAATAAGTTTATTCTTATAATGTTTATAAAGAATGTCTAAAAAGTATTCTTTGATTAATTTTAATGAACAATGGAATATTGATAATATAAACTTAATATATCCCTGAATATGACATTTTTATTTACAAAGATTATCCATATCATATATAAAATCGATGCATATACATCATGTTATCACAATCAACGAATATTCACAGCATAAAAATGATTATTCTAATAAATAACCGTTATTTAAAAAATATTATTCTATAACTATGCTGTATTTATCATTTGGTTTGTTTGGAAAAGCTCTACGAATCAAATAAATAAATATTAAATTTAAGATGAATCAGAGTATAGAAAAAATAAATTATAAATATATATTGCATGGAACTATACTATAGTTAATTGGTTTTTATTGAATCTAAATTATAAAATATGAATTTCTGAGTATTAAATTTATGAACAATTTGTGTAATTATTGTATTTATAGTAGTCGACTGAGTATTACAAATTAAGTATAATATAAAGTCAGAGAAAACTTCTCACGTCGGTTCTTAAAAAAACGGTTAAGTGTTCGCTAACGGTTAACCGACGGTCAGTGGGATTTTTAGCAGAATTCCGCAAGTGTCCGGTTTAAGTTAACGGACATTGTAAGAACCGGCATTAGTCCATTTGTTAATTTTTTTTTTTTTTTTWAACAAAATATGTAGATATCTGCCTACTAATGTGATTTTTTTGAAAATAAGAAATATAATCAAATTTTTACTTTTTCAACATTCTGATTCTTATTTGCTTATGTTTAAGTTTGTTGTTTCTGCATATATTATAGGCATGATATAAATTAATTATATTATCTATTCCTACGGGTTCATATAATACGTATTAATTATTTCAAAATAAAATGTTTACCTTCTTCCAGGGCTGTTCTCAACTGGTCTGGCGTGAGTTCGGGCAAACCGACCTTGACAACTCGACCACTGAGAAGTCCGACCGCCTTTTCGTAAAGCATGCGGTTGAGTGTGTCGTCTGGTTTGGTCTGGAGTTCACGTTCTGAAACCACTGGGCCCTGATCCGATCGTTGTCGGCGGTGACTTGAGTCCCCGTGGACCAGGGTCACTGAACCGGTCAGGGGTAACGAATCGTCTCGAGACATGCGGTCCAGTGTCACGATCGCCTTGGACTTGAGGCACGTGATGAAGTCGTCTACGCTTCCTCCTCCGTCGCTGTCGGCGGATCGTAACCCGCAAAAAGCTCTGGACCGGCCGCCTAGCGCCAAAATCGCCACCGCGCACACCAACACCGTACGTAACCGACTCATTATAGGCACTATCAGCGRACCTTTTCAAAACGAACTGATTCCGGTATCGAGTTATTTCGAAAACGACCGCACGGCGTGTATGATATTCTATATATTATTATGGTTTATATACAATAATATGCGTGAATATATTGTGTGTATGAATTCCACCATTAAATGTCCGCGAAATCGGCACGACAGTGGCTGTAGATGCTTGGGCGCCGGAACGTGCACTGACGCCTGGGTTTCCCGGACATCCGGTATATATACCGCCGCCGCATTCGCGCGGGGAGCGGAAAACGCGMGCGAGTCACAACCACGGCCCCGGTCCGCACATGGGCGGCGCCCCTCCGAACGCGCACTTGACCTCTAACACGGTGCTTTCTTCTTGTTCTCTCACGATCAGAGGACAGTCTACGACGACGACAGATGATTATAATACTGTTTTAGCAGGGCCRCCGTGACAAGGGGATGCGTGCGGGATAATAGTCTCCGGAGTGCCTATAGCAGAGTGTAATAGTATATAATATAAGTTATATTATTTCACCTCGGGCGCACGTCGATGTACCAGCTACTCGCCCGTTTTCACGAAATAAATGTTCATTAAGTCTGACGCAAGCTAACCGTGTAGTATATTATATTAATTGTGTAGTCTTGTGATAGTGCATTTTTATACCGTGTCGACGGCAAGACTTTCACGCGTCGTGAGTGTTGATCATACGGATATTATAGAAATTTGAGAATCGGAGTACTTAGGTAAAGTAGTGTAAAAGAGCTTGCAAATCGACCGAAATCAATTTTCTTTTCATATTGGTCAATGATTTCTCTCAAATTCGACATGTTTATTTTGTCTCACCATTTTACATGTTCTTATTAATATTAATATATTATGCTTACCTATTGTAACTAATGMATCGTTATTAAAATTAATTATTGTAACAGCGAGAGTTTTTTTGACTTGTACTCAATACATCATAATATATCAAATATTTTAATATAACAAATCTATATACCTAATTAAGTACGTGTTTATTTTATTCAATATTATGATATTTAATTTAAATTAAATTCAACATTATTAAAAACTTTTAGAAATGTTGCTATTTTATTTTAAAATTTAAATAATACTTAATTGTTTTTTTTTTTTATTTCAATTAATTCAAGTGTTATAAAAACAAAAAAAAAATGAAAAAGACTAATAACTTAAGTTTAATTAAAAAAAAAAAAAAAAACTATTGTTCACTGCCCACTGACATTATAGATAACACTCTTTCTAGTTTCTTCACTTACTGATAGACAGCCCTTCAAACGAGTTTTTGAGAACAACATACCTATGACATATTTCGTACATATTTCTATACTAATATTAAAAACATGAAAGCTTTMAATTTTTTTATGCTTGTAATCAATAAACTCAACAACAACTGTACCAATTTCAAAAATTATTTTACCATTTGAATTATCTCTGAGTAAGCTATATATTTGTTACTAAAAAAATTAGGAATCCCTACTAAAACTTATGTCCATATACCCAATTATTGAAGTTATATTACTATATCTACTATTTTTAAATTTTAAAAGTTGATAGAAATACTGATCAAAAACATCAATAGGTAGGTATATATATGTATAGAAATTGACTTCCTACCCAACGGATATAATCGATATTAGATATTTTGACTTTTTTCATRGCAATAAAATTTTAAAACTTGGCGACAGAAAATTACCATCTCATCTCGAAATTCTTCTATACACAATCCATAACGAAATCGAAGATCTTACAGAAATAAATTTAAATTTGTTCTGTTCGAGGGTGATAGCTTTATTTAGTAACGATTTAGTAAATAAGATAAACAAAATGATTATGGAAAAAGTAACCTAAGATTTTAGTATTTTAAATGTTACAAAGTTTTTGACATCTCTCAGTCCTGCCTGCTTGCCACCCCACAAACTTAAATTAAATGTAAGTATAGTGAAACTTTAAAGAAAATTAAAAATTAATAACTTATACGATAAGATTGTACATCAAATTTAAATAAAGAAGTGTATAAAATAACATGTTTGAAAATTTTTAATAAAATTATAAAAATCATAACAATAATAAAACCTATCAATAGCAAAGCTTTGCCGAGACAACTAGTCTTATAATATATTTAAATATTAATTTTTTTTTATTTAAACAACTCTAGCAACAACTTTGGATAAATTTTAGTCGTAACAAAGCGAAATATTAATCATTAAAACCATATAGGTACTATACGTTGTGTGTCATTGTCGTGTATACCACACATAACATATGTATTACGACCCGTACACGATTCAGCAAATCTGCCACGTAAATCTGTAGTCTTGCATATTTCAGATTCCTAGATGATAATACATCTCAGATGAACATTAACCACTAACTATGTCCACACGATCATAGAGTTTCTGTCTCGTTATATTGTTTTATTTTCTCGTTTGCCTGCGCGGGATCAGAATGCACTCCGTAAATATTTTTCATCTCTGGACAGTGCTCATATTCGTGTATATTTTATTCAGCTATTTAAGTTTCGTTATCGTTTCATGGTTGTAACCCACCGTTTTTGTCCGTAAATCAAAACAAGTTTACAGTCTAATGTATGATAGGTATATTGATGCGTGAGAAATGAAGACACTATAATATATTAATTTGATGTAAAAATATATATTCATAATATATATAAGTGCTGATATAAATTTAATGCACATTTTTTTCTGAAATTTCACTACTACCAAAATAATATATTTACTAACACAAAACACATACCTATGTAATTGTTGTTTTTCTTTGCAAATTCGATCAACGTTATGATTATAAAACAAAAGATGTTATTAAAAATGTTTAGCAAAATTCGCATGACCTAAAATAATATCATTTAGTAGGTAGGTACTTTACCTATTGTTAAACCGTAATTAAATGCCTAAGGATCGTACACAACGTACGCCTAACGCATATAAACACGTAAAAATATTTGATCGTGGTGTAGGCTCCAAAGGATGTTGTACACTTTCCATCCTGCATGGTTTAGCGTTTTTTTTTTTT